GGTCAGAGAAAAAGAGGAAGACCCCCAGTGAGATGGATTGGCCAAGTGGCAGCATCGATGGACTCAAGCGTGGCAACAGTAGTGAGGTTGGCCCAGGATTAGGCAGTGTTTCATTCTGCTGTGCATAGATCACTATGAGTTGGTACCGACTCTATGGCACCTAACAACAATGATACTAATGATACTGTATGATGAGTTCCACATTCCATTGGATCACCTCTTGTAGCAATGGGCACAAGTTTGGATGTCTTCCAGTCAGTTGACCAGGTAGTTGTCTTCCAAATTTCTTAGCATAAATGAGTGAGTGCTTCCAGTGCTGTATCACTTTGCTGAAAATTTTCAATTTCTATTCCATCAATTCCCATTGTCTTTTTCTTTGCCATTGCCCTCCGTGCATCATGGACTTCTTCCTTAGGTATCATTGCTGTTGATCATATGCTACCTCTTGAAATGGTTGGTTGAGCATAGATTCTTTCCTTGCAGTACAATGACTCTGTGTATTCTTTCCATCTTTTGATGCTTTCTGCATCATTCAATATTTTGCCCATAGAATCCTTTGCCTTTAACGTTGTTTAAAAAAAGTATTTGCGATCAAGAAGTCATTGGTCTTGCAAAATTCTATCTTGTGATCTCCAGCATTATTTGTATCACCAACACCATATTTTTCAACTACTGATCTTTCTTTCTTGTTTCCAACCTTTGCATTCCAAACACTATTAATTATATTGATTGAATGTTTGATCATTTTCAGGCTGAAGAACTTGGTAGAATTCTTCAGTTTCATCATCGCTGGCTTTAGTGGTTGGTGCTTACATTTGAATAATAGTGGTATTAAGTGGTCTTCCTTGTAGGGGTCTGAGTAGTATCCTATCACGGCATTATACTTCAAGACAGATCTTGATATGTTCTTTCTGGTGATAAATGAGACACCATTTCTCTTCAATTTGTCATTCCCAGCATGTAAAACTATGCGATGATCGTATTAAAAATGGCCAATACCAGTATAATTCAGCTCACTAATCCCTAGCATATTGATGCGTTTATGTTCCGTTTCATTTTTGACAACTTCCAATTCTCCTAGATTCATATTTCATACTTTCTGTGTTCTGATTATTAATGGATGTTTACAGCTGTTTTTTTCATTTTGAATTGTGCCCCATCAGCAAATGAAAGTCCTGAAGGCTTTACTCCATTCATGTCATCATGGTCAACTCTACTTGAGGAGGCAACTGTTCCCCAGTCATATTTTGAGTACCTTTGAACCTGAGGAGCTCATCATCCGGCACTGTATCTGACAATATTCTGGTGCTCTTCATCATGTTTCAGTATTCAGTAATCTGGTGCTGACAGTGCACCACTGTTATTCAAAGTGACTAAATATTCGGAAGTAGTTCATGTCTCCTCCTTTCTAGTATGTCTTCCTTTGGAAGCTCAGTTGAAACCTGTCTACTTTGGGTGACCCTGCTGGTATTTAAAATACTCATGGCATAGCTTCCAGAATCACAGCAACACACAAGCCACCACAGTAAGACAGACTGACAAATGAGTGGTGGATAACCTTATGTTGTTGTTGTTGTGAAGTGCCGTTGAGTCGGTTCTGACCCATAGCGACCCTATATAGGGTTTCTGAGGAGTGGCTGATGAGCTTGAACTGCCAACCTTGCAGTTCAAGTGGATTTGCAGTCTGATGCTTGAACCCACAGCGCCACACCAGGACTCCCGGATAAACTTTTAGAGCCCTACATAAACCCCCTCTCATTTATATTATATCCTGTCATTGTAATTATAATAGTGATAACAATAAAATTACATAGAATCTACATTTTATTTGGTCATGGTCAAAAGTTGGGTGCTTATAAGCCCTGCCTTCAGGATCCAAAAGAAGGATTTCATCTCTATTGCCGTACATTTTCCTAGTGTGACCCCAGGACAATTTTGTGATCTTTCTTCTGGTTTCTGTGTCTTCATTTTAGATGAAGATCACCGTGTACCTACATCAAAGTTATGAGGTTTGATTGAACCTCTGAGGCAGACATTGGGATTGCTCACTATTTGAGGGTGGGGAAGCCTGACCAGTTACCCAGACCCCACTGGCAGGTTCTGTCTATGTGGATGTACAAGTGCTGACGATATGAACTTTATAACTGACTTCCCCTTGGATAATGGCTCACCCAGCAAAGAACTCTCAGATTTTAATTTGACTCCCATTGTAGCTTAGCTAAGGAGTCCTGGTGGCACTGTGAGTTAGGTGTTGGACTGCTAAGTGAAAGGTTGGTGGTTCAAACCCACTAGCCACTCCTGAGGAGAACGCTGAGGCTGTTTGGTCCTGTAAAGATAAACAGTCTCAGAAACCCTTAGGGACCATTCATCTTAGTTCTATGGGGCCATTATGAATTGGAATCAACTCAATGGAAGTGGGTGGGTAGCTTAACTTTAAGGGGAGAGTGGGCTTTGTCCTACAATGTAAATGTCTTCATTAAAGTAATAATTATTATATTAAATGTACCATCTAGTTAATTTATTTGCTCATCAGTATTGTTAGCTAAGTTGTAATTCTATGGCAGCTTGCCTGTATCTGTCTTGCTGTGCTGATGGAAACTAGTTTCTGTGAGGCGGAACCTCGTCCCAGCTCCATGCTGCCTTCCTCTGAGTCCAGTAGGGGGATACTTCTGGACACCTTTTTGAGCTACTTTCTTCTGCTAGTTCCATAGCTAATATCAGCTGTGTACCATAGGATAAGCACTTGACCTCAAGGTCCATGTGAACTCACTAGCTGCTGCTCGGAAACCCTACACAAGGTCACTATGAGTCGGAACCAACTCAATAGCCCTTACCAACAACAACAAAGAACAAACTGTAAAGATGAATATAATCTTAATTTACGAGGAAACTTTACCTTTTCTCCTAGGATACCTGGGATGAACTCCTAATTGGGAATGTGGAGCTGAAAAAGGTTTTGGCTTGTCCCAGGTCGGTAATCTTTCCCGACATGCTCCTTGGGGTGCAGTGTGCCCTTTGGTTCTCAGCAAAGAGCCACTGCCACAGCCTTGGTTACATCCTGATAGGTGCATCATGACCACTGTGGACCCTGACACCGGAGTCATAGACCGGAAAGAGCCCCTGGAAACCCTGAAGAGGTAATACACCCACGTGCCCAGCGTGTTTCCTGTAGTTCGCCATCCTAGAACTACCTGCAGGTACCGCAGCTTTAAGTGGGTGTGGCCATCTGGGCTGGAGTGCCTTCCACTCTGCTTTCTGATTGGTTGGTATGTATCGGTTAATGTAGGTGGGTTCTTGTTGCTTCCTCTTTTCCTTGAATGGAAAATATATTTATATAGTAATATCACTGCATCTTAAAAAGTCTGATATCTCTTTACCAATTTCTAATAATCTGTATGTGTGCATTTCCAAATCAAGACCTCAAATGCTTTCATTAGGAAAAAAACTGGAATGCAGTGAGGTTGTTTATGCATGAATTTATCTTATGCCAGCATTTATTGCTTGGTTTTGTTATTTAAAGGCCTTTGGCTGAGATTTTAGCACTCAGTGTAGATGTATTTTTAAACCTCATTACCGTTTTTGTGGGCTTTATTCCACTTGTTTCCCTTTCTTTCATTATGCTGTTTGTTGCCAATAAGTGTAGGTTAGAAAAGAGCCTTTCAGATTTCTAATTCAATTTTGAATTTTGGGTTTTAAGGTACAGTGATATTTCAAACTTTTTTTTTCTCCGGACAGACCTGTTTGTTGTTTGTTTTTGAAATTGCTTCGGTGGTAGTTCAGATCCACCGAATCACTGTCTGAATTTTTGTCCACCAAAGAAGCCCAGCTTTGGGTTTATTTTTATATGCTTGAAGGGACTTGGCACCCTAACGTTTCAGTGCACTAGAGAGTTTGGAGAGTTCAGGGCACTTCCATTTGAGATTACACAAGCCTTCAGTTCAATGGTTTGTGAAGTTGAAGGCCCGTAAGCAAACAAAGTATGAGTTTGTTACAAGGAGCACACTTAAGTAAAGACTTCATTTTAAGTAAGGCCTATCCATTTTTTCATACTGGCTTCAAACTGAAGCCAATATAAAAAAGCCTGTTTAGCTTCTCGGGTTCCTTCTAGCAAAGCCTGGATTGTTTGCAGTTTGACATTCTGCCCCACAGACTTCTCTGTCAAAAACTTCAAACAGCTTGCCATTTCTTTATAAATAACATGAGCATGGAAGATGGGAATCCTATTGAGAGCGCTAAATGATTTCTGTTTGGTGCTGGGTGGTGAATTTTTGCTTCTTTCAGCTATCGCCTGTGTGATCCCTCTGAGAAGCATATATACAAGTCATCCCCACTTTTTGGGATCTATTATTTGGTGGAAAAAATTGGGAGCCTGAGAGTTGGTGACCCTGTGTACCGGATGGTGCAGTGATGGACCTATTAGAGTAATGAGGTAAGAGGTCAGCTTCGCTTCTGGAAGGCAAGGCCTTGAAAATCATCAACACATTTTTTTTGTGTTGAGATATTTTTACTTTTTGCTGTTTTAGCTCTTGGGAGAATAAGCAGTTTGCACTTGGAGTTGGAGAAAGTCCCTTGCTTTTTTTATTCCTCTCAGAAATATGTGTATTTCTACTCCAACTTGCTCTATTCCATGTTCCCATTCTGTTATAAAATGCTGGTGCAGGAATCCCAACAGAAAACTAGGTTTCCAGTTTATGAAGGAATAGCTTTTAAGAAAAATTTGGGAAACAATTCAAATGTGTTTTATCACATTTGATAAAATATATGTATTTGTTGTTGTTAAGTGCTGTTGAGTCAGTTCTGACCCATAGTGGCCCTGTATGGGGTTTATGGGGTTTCCGAGGAGCGACTGGTGAGCTTGAACTGCTAACCTTGCAGTTCAAACCAACTTTACAGTCCAGCTCATTAACCCACAGCACCACACCAGGACTCCATTTATATATATATTTATTAACATTTATATATATATAACATTTTATATCTATATATAAAACAAGATTTATATATTAACATTTATATAATGTTAAGTGCTGATGAGTTGGTTCCAACTCATAGTGTATAGTGACCCTGTGTAGGGTTTCCAAGGAGCAGTTGAGCAGTTGGTGGGTTTGAACTACCAACCTTGTGGTTAGAACTCCAATGCTTATTCTGTAGTGTCATATCAGGAATATAATGTGTTGAATGACTGACCTAGAGCTATTGTACTGATAAGAGGTACAGCTAGGAAGAAGAAGACAAGGCACATATTAGTATGAATAATATTATGTCATGTGTAGGACCTTAGGTGGGTCAAATGGTTTGTGCTCAACTATGAACTTAAAGGTTAGTGATTAGTACCCACCCAATGGTGATCCGGAAGAAATGCCTGGTGATTTGTTTCCATAAAGAGTACAGTTAAGAAAACACTATGAGGCGGTTCTACTCTGTCATATAGAGTCACTGTGAATAAGAATTGAGTCCACAGCAATGGTGTATATGGCCTACGTTTATAGCGGTCAGTAAATAACCAGAACATGGGTCCCAGGCATGGTGTTCTGTAGGTTCAGAGGAGGAAACTCTTCTTTTTGGGTGGGGTGATGGAGACAGAGCTGGAACGCCAACTTTCTGGGGAAGAAGAGTTAGGAGAGTGCTCCGAGAGTGCTGCAAGGATTGAATGTGAGGGAAGCTCCTAGAAGGATTGGAGTGGATGGGGGGGGGATGAAAAGGGATGGGGAATCTGAAGCTAGTTATTGTAGGTTCATGAAAGTTTCTGGTAGATATTTTAAACCCAAATCACAATCAAAGCCTCCTTTTTGGAAGATTACCTGGGAAGCCATATATGGCGGGCTGGAGGGAGGTGAGTGGGGAGGCTGGAAGATGGGCAGGGGTTGTAGGTATGGACAGGGAGGTATGGGATGCCTGAATTCCTCAGCACCGCATAAGATGCTGTTTACTGTGAACTCCCAGCTCTCCTTCCTGCTTATTATCCACTACTCCCCTGCCCAAGGAGTCCCCGGGTGGCTCAAATGGTTAACACACTTAACTGCTAACTAGAAACTTGGTGCTTCAAGTCTGCCCAGAGGTATATTGAAAAAAAAAAATCTGGCAATTTACTTTGAAAAAAATCAGCCATTGAAAACCCTAAGTTGCACAATTCTGACACGTGGGGTTTCTGTGAGTCAGAATTGACTCAGTGAGTGATAACTGGTTTTCCTTCCCAAACCCTGGGCACTCTCCAGATGCTGCCCTCTTGTGCTTCTCTGCTCTGGGTTTACTTCTCCTGCAGGCAGGGCCAGGCCCTCAGAGCCCCAGCTGATGGACTCTGCAGAAAACCTTCTTTGCTACCCACCCCTCCCACCAGTGACTGAGAGCTTTCCTCTCTGGTAATCCCTTCTGTTGGGGCTTGTCTATTTGACCATTTAGAATGGGAGCCTACTGTGGTTTCTGCATGTCATCCTTTTTATGACAGATTGATAATAGCAGTTAGTATTTGCACCAGAGATTATGTGAGTTATTTATTTTAGCCACATAAAGTTCAGTGATCTAAAAGCTTATCTGTTCTATGAGGGTAAGTCAAAAATTATTGCTACTAAGGTTCCAGTTCATACACGCATGGTTTTATTCTAAACAAAGCATGTTTAAACGTGTCTCTCTGATCACTGGGTCGCTGCAGACAAGTTCTCTTAGTAAAACCCTTGTCTTAGTCTCACTAAGGGAGTTCTGGTATGGTGCTGTGAGATAATGCACTGGACCACAAGGTTGTTTGAACTGCAAAGTTGGCTGTTCAAACCTACCAGTTGCTCCTTGGAAACCCTATACAGGGTCGCTATAAGTCGGAATTGTCTCACGAGCACTTAGCAACGATAGTCTTATTTGTTGTTGTTAAGTGCCGTCGAGTTGATTCCGACCCATAGCGACCCTGTACAGGGTTTCCGAGGGTATAAATCTTTACGGGAGTAGAAAGCCTCATCTTTCTCCCGTGGAGCGGCTGGTAGTTTCGAACCACTGACCTTAAGGTTCGCAGCCCGATTTTATTTAGGGTGCCTTAAAAAAAAAGTCCAGTCAAAACAGTGGTCTTGGAGGGGATCTGCTGGGTCAGTTAAATTCAAAACAAATAAGTTAGCTCAAAGGTTATGGTGACTGTGTTTTAGAATTCCAAAGGGATCATGTTGATAGATTTTCTCAAAGGGCAATCACAGGGGCTTATTAGAAAGAAGCTTTAAGAAAATTAAAAAACAAAAACCCAAAAAATTGCATTGATAAGAAAAAACCCAGGAAAGTTGCATTGAGGATTGTATTTTTCTATCAAGACAATGCAGCTGCTCATTATTTGAGGACAACAAAGGTTGTCCTGTGAGAATTTCACCGACAAACTTTACCCCATCCACCTTTCAGTCCTGATCTTGACTTTTCAGATTTCTTTTTGTTCCCAAAAGTTCAAAGAGCATTTCAAAGAAGATCTGAGTCTCTTGAAGATACCAAAAACTGCTCTTTTGACATGGTGTAAACTGAAGCACGCGGGATACAGGGAAGCCTTGTTGTTGCTGTTAAGTGCTGTCAAGTCCGCTTTGACTCATAGCGACTCTGTATAGGGTTTCCAAGGTGGGTTTGAACTGCCAATCTTGTGGTTCGTAGTTCAGTGCTGATCATACAGAGTCACACCCGGGAAGGGGTAGAAAGACTGAAACATCACCTTCAAAGTGTACAGACTCAGATGGAGAATATGTCGAGAAATAATAGCTTTATGTGCTGATACTTTTGTTTATACAGGTTTCTGTGATTCTGTAGCGATGCTTTTAGAGTTACCCTCATTTACACACACACACTCTCCTCACTTACTCGCATGGCTAAGTTCCAGACATCAAGTCATTGGAAAACGGGCGTTATTCGAAAATGGAGAATAACTGCATCCAATTGCAAATGGAGGATGACTACACTATTACATAACTGCCAGATGTTGTTGTTGTTAGGTGCCATTGAGTCGGTACTGACTCATAACGGCCCTATGCACAACAGAACGAAATGCTGCCCGATCCTGGGCCAACCTCACTATTGTTGCCACGCTTGAGCCCACTGATGCTGCCAGATTATATTCTATAACTGCCAAGCTATTGAGAATCAACACCCAGCCAGATTAACACACCACCTTAACCATCTTAGCCAGTTACTCACACCTCACACCTTGGATTTTGTTACTGCCAGATGTAGGTCATTAAGGCAAAAGACTAGTTGGACAGTAGATTTTTCAGTGTTGTCATAAATGCAAAATGCCAGGTAATGAGATATATACTAGTGAGATTTAAAAAGTTTGCAGAAAATTCCATTCCACTTTTCCGTGAACTTTTCAAAGCCCCCTCACACCTTCCCCTCTCCTCCCCTTCCCCCCCCCCCCATATGTCATGTAAACACTTCCATAGCTTTTCAGTCTAGTCAAACATAATTTTTTATGGCCTCTAAATACAATACATTTATTGTATTCATGTCTGGGACTTTTAAAAGAATTAAAAGTTTTTGTAGTGTTTGACGTTTAGAGGATATCCTGTTTTTCTTTAGGTGGTATCATGGTGTGTATCTTTGTATGCAAAGCATTTTAGACTGTAGGATTTTTCTGTAAGAACTGTTGACCCATGAGGCATGCATATTTTTTAGCATCTTGATCTGTTGTGTTCCAAAGGGCGTTTAGTTTACACTACCTTAGTCACGTACAAAAGATCCTTGCTCTGGGCACTTGCAGGAGCTGGGTGGCTGACTCAACCTTTTCTTTCTTTTTTTTTTTTTTTTTTCCATGTAGCTCCTTGGGGTGGGAACAGTGGTGGTTCAGAGAGAATTCCTCATACACAACCACTACCTGTGTATCAGTGGAGAGTTGCATGTTCTATGATGCTGAATAGTTTTCATCAGTTTCCAGATTAAGACAGACTAGCAATAAAGGCCTGGTGACCTACTTCCAAAAATAAACCAGTGGAAACCATATGTGTTAAAATGATCAGAACCCATATGTGGTGTTGCCACGTGTCAGGTGCTAACAATAGCAACAGTTTTGTTGTTGTTGTTAAGTGCTGTCAAGTTGGTTCCAACTCATAGCCACCCTGCATAGGATTTCAGAGGAGCAGCTGGTGGGTTTGAACTGACAAACTGGTGGTTTGAAGTCCAGTGCGGACCCTATAGCACCATGATGCTCTATTTTAACCTCAACCTCAGTGACTGTGGGTGTTTGATTTATTTATGAACAAGTAAAATAAATAACCAAATCATCAAAGATTCTTATAATCTATTCAGGTGATAGCATCCAGCAGACATTGATCAGGATTGCAACACCAACAACAACAGTGTCTCAGTGGATCCTTATTAACCAGCTCTTGATCATCTTTCAACTGGAAATGATTCTTTGTTCTTAACTTCTTGGTGTTATATATGCTCTGAGTTAATGCAAGGAAATTATTAGAGGTGATTTTGGAATATGAATTTATGTTATATATAATAGAGGTAATGAAGAAACTTTAAATTTTTTAAAAAAGTATACAATGTTTTTGAATGTTGTTTTAACTATTACACTTCTCCAATACCTGACTTTAATACTGATGAGTAATGAAAGTTCACAGAATCAACTAAAAGCTGCAAAATAAAATTTTAAAAAATTATGTGTACATTTTATTATATTGGTCATTCCATGTTTTTTAAAAATGAAATGCAATAGGTCATTGTTTTCTATTGTGCCTATCCATGCCAGCACACTCATACATTCCTAATGGATGGTCCACCTCTTATGTGGTAATTGAGTTTCCCTGGGTGGCACAAGTGGTTTTCATTTCACTACTAACTGAAAGGTTGATGGTTCAAATCCACTGATAAGCACCTTTGAAGAAAGGCCTGGTGATCTACTGCCATAAGACTGAAAATTCTGTGGAGCAGAGCTCTGGGGTTGCCATGAGTTGGCATTGCCGTTGGTGGCAAGGAGTTCACCTAGCTTTTGGGTCCTGTGGGCCTTTCACTCAGGTGAGGTTTCCACTAGCTTTGTGGAAGAAGGCCTGCTCTTGATTTATACAAATTATTTTATAGATGTTTAAAATACTGTTGTTGTTAAGTGTGTCAAGCCCATTCCAAATCATAGGAACCCTATACAGGGTTTCCAAGGTGGGTGTGAACTACCAACCTTGTGATTTTCAGTCCAGTGCTGCCCCTACAGTGCCACACCATAAGTCCTTTTTAGATTCTGCCTTTTCTAAGTCATATAAAAGTAAACTGTAACTGTCAGATGCATCCCCTGGAATTCCAAGTATGCTAAAAAAAAAAAAAAAAAATGGAGCTTGAGAGAAAAGAATTTTGAGAATGGTTGCTGGGAGGAAGGGAACATGAATATAGTTTTATGGGTGCAAATAACTTTTTTTTATAACAAAGAGAAATGAAATACTTTGGTATGACCAACCAACCGTGTTGTTTTGTTGTGTGCCGATCAGACAGTTCTGATTTACAGTGACTATGGAACAGAGGTAAGTGCCGTCGAGTCGGTTCCGACCCATAGTGACCCTGTGAAGGGTTTCCGAGGGTATAAATCTTTACGGGAGTAGAAAGCCTCATCTTTCTCTCTGGTAGCGTAGTGGTTACGAATCAGGCTGCGAACCTTAAGGCCAGCAGTTCGAAACTACCAGCTGCTCCGCGGGAGAAAGATGAGGTGTTCTGCTCCCATAAAGATTTACAGCCTCAGAAACCCTGTACAGGGTCGCTATGGGTCGGAACCGACTCGACGGCACTTAGCAACAACAAATGGAACAGAGTAGCACTGCTCCATACGGTTTCCAAGGCTGTAAATCTGCACAGAAGGAGCTCTGGTAGCGTAGTGGTTACGAATCGGGCTGCGAACCACAAGGTCAGCAGTTCGAAACTACCAGCTCCTCTGCGGGAGAAAGATGAGGCGATCTGCTCCCGTAAAGATGTACAGCCTCGGAAACCCTGTTCAGGACCGCTATGGGTCGAAACCGACTCTACGGCACTTAACAACAACAACAAATCTGCACAGAAGCCTGTGGACACATCTTTCTTCCAGAGTGGCTGGTAGTTTTGAACACCCACATTTTGGTTGCCAACCAAGTGCTTAACCACTGTGCCACCAGGGCTCCTCAACCAATCATTTTGTGGTTTCTTTATTGTTAATAAATGTGAATCTCAATTCTTTTTGTTGTTTCTGTTTTGTATTTATGAATCTGATTCCTGGTTATTTCTCATTATGTTTTCTGATTGTCTACTGAGAGCCTCTCTCCACAGATACAATCTGGCCACTGAAACATTCATCCTGTGGCTAGGGGGCAGGTGATCATGGATTTCCATCACATAGATGGTGGGTCTGGGACATGATGACCAGTGAGTGTCATGACCAGATACTTTGCAGCAGCCATTCAGGTATAGCAGTTCCTCTCCATGTTCCATTGCTGGGTGCTGGAGTGGAAATGAAACTCTATTCCTAACACCCCATGAGGTAAAAATGTTATGTGAAACTTAACTTGAAAGCTAACCACTAAAAGAACCACATTTCCTTTTTCTTTTACAAAGAGAAATTGGGGAGTGAAGTAAATAGAACTACACAAATTCCAGCGCTTCTTGTTGGAGAATCTTGAGCATAGCCCTGTGTTGTGTTGCTGTTCACACTATTCCCTAGTAACACAAATCACCAACAATTCACATCTCTTCCAGGGTGGTGGTTATGCGCCCACGAGGCAGTTCCAACTCATAGCGACCCTGTATAGGATTTCCAAGACCGTAAATCTTGACCTCATCTTTCTTCCAAAGAGCCGCTGACAAATTCCAACTGCTAACATTCCAACTGCTGACCTTGTGGTTAGCAGCCCGGCATAACTCAGACACCACCAGGGCTCCCTCTTCCAGGGATGCTGCTAGACAAGGTGAGATCACTGAGAAATCCCAGGAGCCCAACAACACTGCCCTTTGTAGTCTGAAGGCAGCCGCTGGGTTTTGCAGGACTGAGTAGAAGGTAAATGATGGTGATCTGGGGTTGAAAGACAAGAGTAAGGAGAGGCATCATCTGTGTAGACCTAAAACTTTATGGCGAGGAGCAATGTTCAAGAACATCTTTCCTGAGCTAAAGTGTGCTGCCAGCTGGGAAAAAAGGGTTCACGACTCGTAGGGATCCTCCCATTCTCTGATGCAAGATATCTGCGTGGACTACTCTGGCCGGGTCTTGTCCTGCCCTCTGTGACCAGCAGCTGTGCTGGCACAGCAAACAGGAGCAGAAGTCCCCCTCCCCCCTCCATTTGACCTTGCTGCTTGAAACTTGACCAGATCTGAAGGTGACCTCCTATCCGGAAGAAGGCCTTCCCAGATGGGTCTCCTGTGAATGCAGCTCCAGCTGCGAGGTTTGGCGGCAGGAGGAGCATACCATATCGCTGACCCCGTAGAAGGCGTCTCCTCCCACTGCACCTCCCACTGCGGTCGGAGAGCGGGGTCGCGACCTTCAGACCTTGTAGTTTTGCTCCACCTTCGAGGCCCACACGCAGAGAGCGCCCCCTGGCAAGTCGGCAGAGGATAGCCCTACTCTTCCCTGGTCCTGCCATCCCAAAGACAGGGGGATCTGCCCGTGGCCCTATTTCTTATTTGGAAACTATGCTGTTTTGCAACGCAAAATTTGTATTATTGTTCTCCGTCAAATAAACAAATCCACATATAAACAAATAGAGTGGTCACTTGTAGAGACTGAGTCGTGGGCGGGTGGGGGTGGAGTTGCTAGAGGGAAGTGGAGCACGAGGGGAAGTAGGGTTGGGGAAGAGGCACAGTGCCTTGCAGGTGGGCTATGGGGGGAGCAATGGGACGAAGGCTGGGTGGAGACTGAGTTCACCCAGTGCACAGGGACCTCCCTAGCAGAGGCTCGAAACTCCGACTCGGCCTTGAAGGGGTTCGGAACCGCCTCCCTGTGGGCCCGGGGCCAGGGCCGCACCTCCCCCCATGCCCCTGGGCAACCTCCAGCTCCGGTCCCGCGGCCGCCTCACCCCGGCCGGCTACAGCTCAGGCAGCGTCCCGCAGTTTTGGCCATGGGTGCCGCCGGCTCGTTGGCCCTGGCCCGCTTCGGCTTTACCGCGCCGCGTCTCTCCGCGCAGCCCCGGCCCGGGTGGCTCGGGGTGGCTGCGCTGGGACTGGCCGCCGTGGCGCTGGGGGCCGTGGCCTGGCGCCGCGGGCGATCCAAAAGGCGCCGGAGGCTGCAGCAGGTGGGCACTGTGGCGCAGCTCTGGATCTACCCGGTCAAGTCCTGCAAGGGGGTGCTGGTGAACGAGGCCGAGTGCACGGCTCTGGGACTGCGCAGCGGCCACCTGAGGGACAGGTACGGGCGGACTCGGGCTAGTGGGCAGCCCAGGCTGGGACCGGGGCAAGTACCCGCCGTGGAAGGTCTGTAGAGTCCTCTCTCCCCTTATAAGAAGCTGGGAACGAGATGAGATAAAGGGGTCCTAACTCCTAGAGAACGGACCTCGGGGACCCGGCACTCTGAGCCTAGTTCTGTTACAGGATTTGATTTCTCCAGATGAATGTATTTTCACCGCCTAGGGGCGCTGCCACACCTTGCGTTGTTGAGACGGTCTTAGACGCCAAAAGTTTGCCTGTGCGCTCGCAAACTTGTAAAATCTCCTTTTAACTAGGCAGTAAGCTTCAAGGGATTGCCCCCCACCCCACCTGTTTTATTTTTAGTGACTATTGAGAACTTGAGGAAACTGGGAGCAGCAGAACCTAGCCCTCAGAGAAGGACCACCAAGGCCTGGTACATCATAATAACAACGCTTAAAGCGTGAGATTTTACAGTTTACAGTGTGCGATTGTGTTGTTTCTGTTTATCGTGGTGAAAATGTGGCAAGGGATATTGGTTGCACAACATAATTACTGTAATTGATGTCAATAAAGTGTTGATGTTGTTAAATGACGTTAACGTCTGACCCATAGCCACCCTGTATAGGGTTTTTGAGGAGCAGCTGGTGAGCTTGAATCGCTGATCTTAGAGTTCAAAGGGCTTTGCAGTCTGGTGCGTTAACCCACAGCGCCATACCAGGACTCCATGTGACAAATGCTAAGTTGGCAAATACTGTGTTGTGTATATTTTGACAATAAATGTGGTTACATATATTATTTTTACTGGTTTGCGCAATTGCTCTTTTAAGGGTAAAGAAATGGAGGCTCAGAGTCATTCAGGAGTGGAACCAGGACTCTTGTTTTCTTTAGCATATTGTGCTAAGGAAATACTGATATTTATTAATGCACTATGTAGCTTGTGGAGTCCTAGTGTGGTGCTGTGGCCTAATGCATCAGACTGCAAAGCTGTTTGAACTGCAAGGTCGGTGTCTTAAACTCACTAGCTGCAACTCAGAAACCCTACACAGGGTCACTATGGGTCGAAACCGACTCAATGGCACTTAACAACAACAACAGTGTAGGTACTGGAGTCCTGGTGTGGTGCTATGGGTTAATGTGCTAGACTGCAAGGTTGGTTTGAATGGCAAGGTCGACGGTTCAAGTTCACCAGCCCCTCGTTGGAAACCCTTTACGTGGTTGCTCTGGGTGAGAATTGACTCGACCTCTTTTACCAACAGCAACATCTAAGTAGTGGGAGTCCTGGTGTGGTGCTGTAGGATAAGCACTCGACCTCAATGTCAGTTCAAACTCATCAACTGCTCCTTGGAAACCCTATATAGTGTTGCTATGAGTTGGAACCGACTCAACAGCACTTAACAACAACAATATAGGTAGTGAGGAGTTGTGTGGATTCTTGGGATTCAGAGGAGGTTGCTCAACCTCAGAGAGAGTGGCTTTGTCCTCTTCTGCCTCTGGCTTCAGGCCATCCCTGGGCCTCTTTGTATGACTACATTCCAAACTCCTTCCTCCCAGCCCAACCCTCACAGCTTCAGGAGAAAAAATACACAGGACTGGAGGGATTGTGACTTTTTAGAGAGATGAAAATAATTCATGAAATAGTGGAAAGGTGAGCTATGCACTTTTGCCTCAGGAAGGAACCCAAGAAAGCTAGTTCATGATTTGCACAATGGACTCTGAAAGACCGTAGAATTTACTGAGCTTAGTTTTACTGGCCAAAGTCAAAGGACTTTGTGATTTTATTGTATCAGTTTAGAATTTATTAAGCTCTAATTAGTGTAGTGGTTATGAATCGAGCTGCAAAGTGCAAGGTCAGCAGTTCGAAACTACCAGCTGTTGCGCGTGAGAAAGTTGAGGCTTTCTGCTCCTGTGAAGATAAACAGCCTTGGAAACCCTATACAGGGTCGCTATGTGTCAGAACCGACTCCACAGCACATAACAACAATTATAGTTGATAATAAGGAGCTCTGGTGGTGCAGTGGTTACGAGTCGGGCTGCTAACCTCAAGGTCAGCAGTTCGAAACTACCAGCTGTTCTGTAGGAGAAAGAGACTTTCTGCTCCCACAATGATTTATAGCCTCGGAAACCCTATGCAGGGTCGCTATGAGTTGGAACTGACTCCAAGGCACATAACAACCACTGCCACCATAGGAGGTAATACCGGATGACATTTTTACCAGACATGAGCCCTAGTGGTGCAAATGTTTAAGCTCTTCACTACTAGCCAAAGAGTGGGAAGTTTCAACCCATCCAGAGGTACCTACCTCATAAGTAAGGCAATCTGCTTTTGAAAGGTCAGAGCCTTGAATGTTTTTTATGGAGCAGTTCTAGGGGTTGTTGCCATGAATCGGCAAGGACCCAAAGGCAACTAGCAACAACAACAACAACAACAACAACAACAATGGGAATCTCTTTATTTTTATCATCACACTATTAGAAAATGTGTCAAGAGACGCAAACAAAGGCATAGGGTCAGTCCAACTGACTCTGGAGGCAGGGACGCTCACCTTGAAAGCTGCCTAAGGTGGTCAGGAGGGATATCACAAAGGGGGGAACAGCTTGAGCTGAGACTGGAAAATTGAGTGTGATCTTTCCAGGCAATTTAGTTCTAGACGGGGCATAAGCTGGATGAAGAAACTGAGAGAACTTGGTGAGCTGGGGATGTGGGGCGTGGGAGGTGAGAGTGGCAGGGAAGCAGGCTTACTTAAGAGTTAGGGTTTTATCCTAAAGGCAGAAAGAGCCATCAAGGGATTTTGAATGATGGAGTGCCATGATTAGATTAATATTTAGAAAAATCCACCAGCTACTATTACTAATGAAAGAATATTCAGGTTCTGGTACAAAGAATTCAGGACAAGGCAGAACTTTGCGCTTCTAGCATGAAAAGGGCAGTTGGAGAAAAGGATTTACACTAGACAAAGGCTTTACTCATTTATCTCAGGTGGCTGAATATCTCAGCTATGAGGGTTCCTGGGGAGTGGGTGGTTGCAAAATCTTTTTCTTTAAAGACCTAAAATACCTGCTGTCTTTTTCTCCCTTATCATCTATACATCCCCAAAGCACAGCTCACTTGCCTAAATGTGATTATTTGATCCAGTGTGAATAGAATGACCAAAATGCCTCCACATATGTTTAGCTTCCTAGTAGCTGACAGATCACCTACACAATTGTGTTCTTGCCTGGAAATATTCTTTTTTGGGGAAACTGTTCTTCCTATTAACTCTCTTTTCTCCATTCATTTCAGGAGTTCTGGGCCAGAAAAAAAAAACATTGTCTAGATCAACAAGAGACCTTTTAACAAATGTACAGAACCCACAGTTCTGAATATATTAGTATAAATATAATATTTAAATAATTGATTTAATGCTTAAGTTAGTTAAGCTCTTAATTTAAAGAGGATGGGTGAATTCAGCAAGGTGTAAGTGGCATTTGTGTACTTTTCAGCAGACTTTAATGCTCTGTGAATGACACAGAAATAGTCTTGCGTTTTCAGTTGACATGAGCCACTGTCTACTGTGTGCCAGGCATGGTCCTTCCTGGTGCCCTGCTTACAACTTTTTGAGAAGCAAATGATTATCATCTCCTTGGTGCATACAAGTTTAATGCAAGTCATCAAGTTTTCTGGCAATTGCAATGGAAATATAATTAATATTTTTTTTTATTTCTGTGCCACCAAAGTGCTCAAATTGTTCTTTAAGTACTATATGTTAGATGCTTGAGCGATTATTAAACACTTTCTGAAAATGACTTTTAAAAAAAACCTACATAGCAGCTTGCTATGCTATTGCATAGATGTTCTTCCCAAACAAAGGCAAACAGCAGGCTGAAAGATGAAGATGTAACTGAAGCTCCCACTAATGAAGTTCCCAGTCCTGTGGGTCCATGCAAATATTATATTTTGAAAATGGCAGGTTTTGGCTTGTGATCAACGAGGACAGGAACATGGTGACAGCACGACAGGAACCTCGCCTGGTCCTGATGTCCCTGACCTGTGACGGTGACTCCCTGATCCTCAGCGCAGCCTACACAAAGGACCTGCTGCTACCCATCAAAACGCCCACCACAAATGCAGTGCACACATGCAGGTAAGGGAAGGCTGGGCTTGGGATGACTGCTTGCCTGAATACTTATTTTTAAAAAAAACATGAACTATGGAGAAAGTCCTGGAAAACACGATCAATTCTTAACCATTTTTTACAAATGTACTATATGCAGGACTAAGTTCTCAGTATCATGAAGATGATCTAAATGAAGGAAAAATGATGAAGTATCATCAGAAGCTTGTGTTCTTGTGAGTATGAGGGACATAAAAAATTCTTTTGTAGAAAACCATGAGAATAAGAACATATTGATTTGTCAGCAAAAGGAAAGAAATCTGTGGGGAAAAGAATTGAACTTTACCCAAAGCAACCTGATCTTTGCTCTCAGATCTTGAGAAAGAGCTCTAAATACTTGGAATTTTCTGAGTAATTATGGTGCTTTTGTTATCTACGTCTCCAGACCACACTTGAGATTTGTGCTAAGGCCTGGGACTTGCCTGGCCAGAAAGACCACTATGTGGCCTGTGTGCTATCAGCTGACTGCAGGGAGGTGGGGTATGAGCCAACCAATCCTGCGTATGCACTGTAAGTTTCATGGGCTTTCTGGCTGGTGAAAAACATTCCCGCAAGTGAGTGGGTTCTGGGACATGGAAGGTCTGTGCTGGGAACTCTCCCAGACCTTGCCTAATGTGTCTCTTCATTTGTATCCTTTTTCCTGTAACAAAACTTTTGTTTTATTTTTAAGTTTTTATTGTGAATTTGAGTGATAGTTTACATGGGAGAATATCAGTTTTAAACTCATTGTTTCATTGCAATGATTATAATTTCCTCTGTGCATCATCATTCAACAGTATTTGCTTCTATTCCTTCTGGTGTGGTTTTTTTATTTTTTTTTTATTTTTGGGGTGTACACAAAAAACATGTAGGAATATGTAATCATTTAAACAGCCAAAGGGCACATTGTGCCAGGCAGCTTCCTGGCCGCCAGCACACAGCCTTTCTCTTTCCATGACTCTGGAGTCCTCAGCTGCTCTTTCTTTCTCCATGTCGCCATCTCTGCTTCCATCTCTGGTGTTGCTGCTTCTCTGGATAGGGTCCCACATCCTGCTCATGCTCTTCTCCCTTGATGGTCCTAGCGTCCTCTGTTCCTAATCTGTAAGATGAACTACTCCCCCGTAATAAACTTTTTGTAAGTAGTGCTTCCCCTGAGTTTTGTCAGTCATTCCAGTGAATTACTAGACTCGAGAGAGTATTGGAAGTTAACAGGTCAGAAGTGGATCTGGGAGGCCCCTGAGCTTGAGTTTGGCATCCTGAAGAGGTAATGGGTAAACCACAGATTTATAGTCATGCTGTTGAAGTGTGAGGGACCTTGGAACTTGAGTTCTTGATTAACACCTAAAGTCTTGGTCAAACTTGGTCTGGGTCTATCTTAGTTCTCTAGTGCTGTTATAGCAGAAATGCCACAAGTAAGCAGCTCTGTTATTGTTGTTATGTGCTGTCGAGTCGATTCCGACCCATAGGGTTTCCAAGGAGCAGCTGGTGAGCTTGAACCACTGACCTTGCCATTCGAATAGCTTTGCAGTCTGGCGCATTAACCCACAGCACCACCCCAGGACTCTGTAAGCGGCTTTGTTGTTGTTGTTGTTAAGTACCATGGAGTCATTTCCGACTCATAGGGACCCTGCACAGGGTTTCTGAGAAGGTAAATCTTTACAGGAACAGAAAGCCTCATCTTTCTTCCGCGGAACCACTGGTGAGCAGCTTTAGCAAACAGAAATTCATTCTTTCACGGTTTAGGAAACTACAAGTCCAAATTTAGAGTGCCAGTTCTGGAGAAAGGTTCCTGCCTCCTTTTAGCATCCTTGGAGAGCTTCATGTGTTTGGCATTAGTTTTTTCCTGGATCTAGGAGCTTCACAGACTCCTGGTGTGGCACTGTAGGATCAGCACTGGATTGCGAATCACAAAGTTGGCAGTTCAGACCCACCAGCTGTTCCTTGGAAACCTTAATCAGGGTTGGAACCGACTTGATGGCACTTAACAACAACTGGAGCTTCACAGTGCAGGGACCCCAGGCCCAAACGATGCCCTCCACTCCTGGCTGTTGGCTTCTGTCGGCAGTAGGTCCCTCTTTCTCTGTTCACTTCCCTCTCCTTTTATCTTTTGGAAGACTCCTGATGTGGCACTGTACGATAAGCAGTGGACTTCTAACTGCAGGGTCAGCAGTTCAGACCTACCAGCCACTCCTCAGAAACCCCACACAGCCCCTGTGAGTCAGAACTGACTCTAGGGCATTTAACAAGCACCACAAGACAAAAAGTTGCTCTGGTAACATAGTGGTTACGAATCGGGCGGGCTGCTAACCTCCAGGTGGGCAGTTGGAAACTGCCAGCTGTTCCGTGGGAGAAAGATGAGGCTTTCTGCTCCCGTAAAGATTTACAGCCTCGGAAACCCTGTGCAGGGTCAGTATGAGTCGGAACCAACTCCATGGTATTTAACAACAGCAACGACAAGATACAAGGGGATTCAGGGCACATCCCTGAAGAAGCTTCCTTTCCATTGACTGAGTGCTTGTAATAGATCTTCTGATGGGGGAGTGTTGTTGTTCTGACTCATAGTAACCCTGTATTGATTGGGCATCATAGGAGAAGTTGTTGGTGTTGAGCCACCAACCTTGAGGTTAGCAGTGCAGTGCTTATTCTACACACACTAAGTTTTACCTGCCAAACCACTGAAAATTCAGACCCAGCCAAGTGGACACAAAATCTGATTATCAGTGTCCCGTAACTGGTGAGCTGTGACTTAGCTCTTGTCACATGAGCAGTTGGTATCAGAATTGAACAGAGAAATAGAAAAAGTGAATTGGATAAATTTGAGTTTCCTTCCCCCACTCTAATTTTATAAGAGGATCAAGTATAAAAATTGGGTGGGAGTAATGGCTGGAAGTATCCTTAAAGGGTTGAGATTAGATCTGTGTGTTACCTGTTAGGTCTGGAATGATTGCATACCTTCCAAACCTGAGTTAGGAAAGAGGTCCCAAATGCCCATGTGACCTGTGGTGTGTAGTTCTAATGAGACGCAGCTGAGCAATAGAAAAGACCAGCTGTGAACAGGAAGCATGGACCAACCTGCTCACTCGCCCATCTGTATCATAGACTGAGAGGAGAGTCTGCCAGAGGACACGGTAAGCAGACTCGTTCCTCAGCATCCAAAGGGCTGCAAGGGAGAAACTGTTCTAGGGAAAATGGCTTTGCTTCTAAGAAATCTTGTCTAGATTTGAGTTTTCATCCACTGTGGGAAAATTAAAGTTTGGTCTAATTATACTCTTGTTACAGTTTCTGCCTTTTGAATTAAAATGCAATGTGACTATTATAATATAGTAGGTTGCCTATTACAGAAACTATGCTAAGCCAAAAATGTTGTGAGCCGAAAAATGTAAAAATTAATTCTAATTTGGTTGTTTTCCTTATTATGAAAGGAGTGCATAGGCGTTTTTGAGAAAATGGAAAATACCAGGAAAAAAAAAAGCTGAGACAAATGCGTATTTTATTCCAGTGTCTCTGGAGGCCTGGTATGGCACTGTAAGATAAGCACTGGACTGCAAAGTCATTTTGAATAGAAATGTCAACAGTTCAAACTGCTCTTTGGAATTTTTATACGGGGTCACTATGAGTCAGAACCAACTAGACCACACTTAACAATAATGATTAATACTTTGAAATCCTAATACTTTGAAACCAAATTGAATACCCCAAAAAATAAAGTCTTGAATACTGTTAACTTATACGTTGAACGTTTTTTCATATTGTCAAAAATGCAATTTTAAAATTTAGCATGATATCTCATTCTGTGAATATTCTGTACTGTGCTCTGTGATTAATATTTTGCTTGTTTTAAATTTTTTTCCAGGAATGAATAATAAAGTGATAAATATAATAAGACATATGAACAAAGATTTCTGCTATCTTATAAAAAAAATCTAGCAGTAATTTGACTGAAAACAAGAGTACAGCTTCTCTAGATTTTGATACATGTTGCCAAACCATTTTATAAAACAGTTATACTGGTTGATGAGCCTATCTATCTAACTTAATTCTAATTAAGAGGTTAAAAATCATTTTTGTCACTTTCATGGGCAAAAATGGTAATATCTTGTTGATTTAATTTTAATTTTTGCTAGAAAGAGGTAAACCTTTTCATATGACTTTCATTTGAATTTCATGTTTCTTTGTGATGGCTAAATATTGACCCATATTTTCTTGTAGCAAAAAGCAAATCTTTTTTCCATTCAATTTTTAATTCATTTCGAGTTATGTGAAATTTTTTCTCATTTTTCATGGTTCCATTCGGATTTTTGGTTCATGACCCCAAAGACTAAACAAGGGTGTGTTTGTAAAATGAGAAGAAAGTTTAGACATGCTACAGAAGTACACAGATGCTTACAGCGGCGATCACAAGGCCCATCTGGGGGTCGGGTTTCCTTTGGCTGCCCAGGAAAGAAAAGGTTATGAAGCAGTTGTAACCTCAGGCTACAGTTTCCTAAAGATTTCTGAAGTGTTGCTGGGCCACAGGGTCACCTTCAGTAGGTCATAGTGGCAGTCAGTACACCTGTTTTCACAGTTAAGGTTGTTACTTGATTTTCTACCATGCCAGCCACTAATAGGATAGGAAAAGTTAGGGCCTTTACATGGATTAGTCAGGCAAGCAGCATGCCTAAATTATCTTTGTCAAAAAATTTAGGAGGATTTTGAATTTTAGTTTTGTTTTCTTGGACTCTTGGGAACAGTATGTCAGTGCAATTCTGGGCCCAGCTCTACTGGACAAAAATGTCCACTTATAGCCTCAGAAATCCTGTGGGTCAGTTCTGCACACACCTACAGGGTCTCTATGAGTTAGAATCGACTGATAAATAGGTTCGGGGTAAGCATTAGAGCACAAGGTCGGTTTGAATCGCAAGGTTGGCAGTTCAAACTCTCCAGTTTGCTCCTCGGAAACCCTGTACAGGGTCGCTATGAGTCGGAACAACAATAACAGTCTTCATAGTAAG